TCAATGTTCCATTGCCCTAATAAGTACACTGTAAAAAGAAGAACAAGGAAAACAAGAAAAGGCAGATTAGGGGGGAAAATAGCTAGTATGCTAGGAATTACTTTCCTTGCTCGCTCTGCTGTTCCGAACATCCTACTGAAATGGCGGAAAAAAGGGAACTGAAAGGAAGGTTGAGGAGGCGGAGCTGGTGCCTTGGGGGGACTAAACTGTTTCTTTTTTCTTAAGCTCTAGATGTTCCAAATGTCCTGCGCAGGCACAGAACCCATTTGAGTGCATTCACAGAGGCCACTATGAAGAATTATTTGCCTTCATGCACCTATTTTATATAACACCTGGGGATTCTTATTTGCAAGTAGATCCCTACAGATGCTTACTCATTATTAAATTTTGCAAAGTTTAATGAGACTTAGTCTTAGATAGGTGGGAACAAAGTTATAGACAATTACTGAAAGCAATGTCTATTTAAAAATGTTGTTAAAAATGAATGAACACTGGAAGCACTTACCCTGGTTCAATAACTCCATGTTGAGGTGTTATTGTAAGACAATGAGCAGGCCATGATAACTCAAATTTCAATGATCTGGCTGAGTTATTAGTTATTCGTGTATATTTAGTGATTGTTGTTCCACCTTTTAAAACAAGAGTTGCATAAATTCAGGTTACATTTTACAAATTATATGCAAAATACTAGCAACTGCAACGTTAGTTAAGCAAGTGCTTTTACATATTGTAACTACAGAGAATAAATTTATACCACTACACTCATGATGGATTGGGATCCATGTTAGCAAAGAGGTAAATCTATGTGTGTCTATCAGACTATCAACAAATTACTAACAAAGCAAAAAGAAAGATTTCACTTTCTGGTCATATGAAAGAGCGAGTAGATTCTAAACACACAAAAAAGTTGGTGGAAATCTCCAGTGATAAGTTTCTGAAGTCATACCATGCTATGGAGAAATTCTTTTAAACCCAAAGCTCATGCACTCTGGTCCATTTATCACTAAATGATCAGAAAGTTTTCTAAGTAATCAATAGGGAAAATACACATTAGTAATTTTATTAGGCTTTGCAACCTGCTGAAGTTACTTACTTTGAGAAGGAGCTGTGAAAATCAGAAATTCAGGCTCAAGAGTCCAAATGTCCTGAGAATCATATTTATTCTCATCTAACTCATTAGTATTTGTGGACAATACACAACCATGAGGTCCTTTAACAGGCAGTACATCCAGAGTCATGCTATGTTTCTCAAGAATAGCAGGTCTACAAAACAAGTAAAAAGTGGTTAAAAACCAATCTATTCAGAAATACCAGGAAAGAGAATTTAAGGACATCCTGTCTTCAGCCTTAAACTAACATTCTAAAATAACAAAACTCTCTAGATTTAGTCTTGAACATTAAAATAGTTGAAAAGAGCATAAAAATACATAAAGGTTGGCAGGTGAGATGCATAGAAAGCAGTCTTGGTCCAAAGACTAGAGAAAATGATCTTCAGTTTCAACATTATCTTTCCAATATCCATTGCTCTACAGAAATCATTCCACCACACATTCTGTGAAGATCAAATATGCGAGTATAAATTTTAGTGACTGCAAGAGAAATGGATCTGTTTTACTACTTCAAGTACAAATGGAAATAAGTCTGAGTAAAGTCCCAGGTAAGAATGTTCCCCACTTCGTTACAAGAAACAGAACACTTCTGGTCTTTAATTTTACTTCACACCAATCCTGGCTTGTCAGTTTGTATGGGTAAGAGATCATAGTTTAAAACAAACAGGTCATAAGGCAGCCTTATTTAAATAAGCAGTTTGTTTTAAACTGTGATTTCTGGTTTTAATATATATCAACAAGCTAGATCAGTGGCAACTGAAGCTGAATGCTATCCAAAGTTTTGGATAGTGTGGGGACATATCCAAGTCAAAAGATCCGTTCAGGCTCCTTATTACTTGTGCAGGTACAGCAATAGTTTCAGCTAAAGCATAAATGTGTTGTTTATTATGCTGTGAACCAACCAGAGTAATCTTAGCAGCCACATGGGTGGTATAGAAATTGAAGGAATGAACGAACAAACGAACAAATGAACAAACGTTTCAAAGTTAGTATTTCTATTTAACCAGTGGCTGAAATACTCTGAATATCCTTTGCCATGGGGCAAAGGAAATTTTGCCAATAATTTAAAAAATGCCATAAAAGCTTAAAAAAGACATTACCTCTCTAATCCCAAATGATTAATTGAAGATGGCTTGATATCAGAAGCAAGAGCAGATGTTTTAACAGCAGAAAGAGTAACCCTTCGCATATTTGTAAAAAAACACTGAATATCATTGGGCTGTTGTGGAAGATCATACACTGAGAAAAAACATTTTAATAATTAGAAAACTTAATTTACAAAATAATTGCATCAATGCTTCAAACTGTAATACTCATTATAGATCTGGTTGTATTAGTCTGACTCAAGAAAGGAAGTTGTGGCCTTGAGATTGTTAACAATAGGGCCTTTTGGAGGTCACTAATTCCTACAGTCATCAGAGTTTGGAACCAATTTGACAGCATATTACAACACAGAGAACCTAAGTAGATTATAACTGCCTTTCCATGAAATAATTTTTCATTTTAACAGTATGGAATAAATTCTAAACTAAGTTCACACCAACTGGAACTACAGGTGTATTCTGTTGTATTCCACGAGTTGTTGGGGGGGGGGCATTCTATACAGAGACTGTCCCAGATCTTCTCTTCAAAGTGAACAAAGAAGGACTAGGTAGATAAGAGAATCCATCAAATTGTCAGAAATACATCACCTCCCCTCTTTCCAGCATAAGAGAGCATAATTAAAGCTTACTTTTAAAATTGCTTTATTTTAGGATTTGGCCCAATGAAATAGGTGTTGATACAGTTCCTCAAATAATAACTTTTTGATAATATAATGCACTCATTTTCTACACTTTTAGGAGTCTCTTGACTTCTAAATACGGTGGTCATGAGGACGGGCAATGCAAAATACATGACTGTAGATCCTGACAAAAAAACAACAACTAGGATACAGTGGTGCCTCGCTTAACGATTACCTCGTTAAACGACAAAACCGCTTGACAATGAAGTTTTTGCGATCGCTTTTGTGATCACAAAACGATATTTTAATGGTAAAAATCGCTTAACAATGATCGGTTCCCTGCTTCGACGATTTTGAAACAGCTGATCGGCGGCTCTCAAATGACCACCTGCTGTGCAAAATGGCTCCCTGCCGTGTTTTCAGGACGGATTCCTTGCTTTACAGGCACCAAAAATGGCCACCCTATGGAGGATTTTCACTGGACAGTGAGGTATTTAGCCCATTGGAACGCATTGAACCGGTTCCAATGCATTTCAATGGGCTTTTTCGTTTCACTTGACGAGGATTTCGCTTAACAGCGATTTCAACATAACGAATTATCCTCATCAAGCGAGGCACAACTGTACATACAAAGAATTGACAAACAGAACTTAGCATTTGTAAATGCTATGGCAAAAAAAAAATCTAATCCAATAAATACTTGCTATGTATATAAAAATTAAAATCCTGTTAGAAGGGTTAACATGCACCATTTCATCTGAAGTTCAACATGCCTATTAAAACTTCATAAGATGATCTTGAAGTATCACATGAAATTAGAGAATCATCTTTTGGTTTTGCACTATTCACTGCCAACTACTTTGCTTACTGACAACTTTACAAAAACTGTTTGAGTCCTATTAATTCAAATTGTTAACTGCAATTCTGGAACTTTCAAACTCTTTATAGAGGTTAGCCAATGACAGACTTTATCCTAAAGGCAGACTTGAAATTAATTCCCACTGATGTGAAACAGAACTTACTTCCAAATATGTATGCTTAGGATCAAAGGTAATGATAGAATGCTGAAAAGTTTAAAAGCCCTCTGGTGACTTTGTAAAGTATTATCTGTGGGACAGTCTGGACAGCAGCCCAATAACACTTATATTCAATTCAAGTGACATATACGTTAGGGCCTTTCAAAAAAGAACCACAAATATATGACTGACAAATAAACCAAACTTAAAGAAGTACGGTTGGCTTTTAGTTCAAAGTCAGCTGAATGGGAACACATCAGCATCTGCAGAATCATGATGCATAGGGGAGAAGGCATTTGATCTGCAGAAAGTGGAAATGGCGGTGGCAGCACAATATCGCCTTACCAGCAGAGCTACAATGGCATATATGGGTAATAAAATTGCTTACGCAACAGAATTGTGAAACTATAAAAAGGTGTTGCCCTTAAACATATATGAATAAAATGGTCAAACTGCAGGTAAGAAAGCTTACCTTCTGTCACTAGCTCTTCCCCAGTGAATTCCTCATCAAACTTTACATTTATCACTGGATTATTAGCAGGAAGTATGTTTTGCAATTGCTCCAGATGATGTTGTGTTGATCTGAGTAGACAATTTTAAAAAGTAATTTTTAGTCCTTAATTTTATGAGCAATATTGAATTTGAGAAGGATTCTGAAATACTCAGCAATGACTCATCCCATTGTAAAAGCATGTTATATACATTGTAGCTCAATATACTTCCAAGCTACTGATCATGAGTTCCTTATTTTCCCAGATAAAAAGATAAAATTTGTCAAGCTTCAAGCTAAAAACCTGTATTGCCTCAAGGCCACTATGTTTGCTAAGGGAAGTTCCACATGAAAAATGTAACTGGAAAAAAAGATTGATTTATCAAAATACTCCTAAAGAAACATCATGCACAACTATAACTAAAGATAAGCTTTCTATAAATGGGCTCAGAATAGTCAGAAATTTCTTCTGCCAGCAAAAAGACTCATGTGCTGGTACAACCACCCTTGTGTAGGCTGATCTCAGCAATCTGCTAGTGAAGTATCTGTCTGAACAAATGTTCCATTAGTCCAGAAGAAGCAAAAAGGGAGCTGGAGAAGGGGTATGGAGAGGAAGGTCTGAGTTAGGCCAGAAATAAACCTGCGCCAGTTCATTGAGTCACTATGCCAGCACAAACTTAGGCCAAGGTGAAGGTGTCTAAAGTAATTTCCAGTCCCTAAGATAGGAAGGGTTGAATCATTTGTATTTCAGAGGCTGTCTTTTGGGAACCAACAAAATAACACAAATGCAATAATAAGAGCCTCTTTCACTTTTTTTGGGGAGGCATCAACATGGAAGTCCAATCCCTAATTAATACTGAAGGAGAATATTATATTCTATTACACATATTTTCTTTGCATATAGTATATTTTATTTCAGAAAGTGATTTTAAAGCAGGTTCAATAGGAAAAGAAGTGCAGCTCAGCACCAAGATGTGTGCTTTTCCAGGAAATGACTCAAACAACTGCGCCTCAGGTCCTGGAGGTCTGCTGTTGCAGACACTGTCAAAAGCAAGGGAAGATGAATAAATGATCTGACTCAGTATCAATCAGCTCCCTATATAACTATCTGCACAAACCCAATTTGTTCCAGTGAATTGAGGATACAAGCTTGAGTTTCTGTAAGAATATTAAAATTGTGCTGGAGCTGATCAAAGGCCTATGTAGTTCAGCACTGTGTTCTTATAATGGTTTTAAAATGCTTATGAAAAGTCCCTGAAAAGCCTCAGGAAAAGTGCAATAGCTCTTGTTTGCTTGCATATCCTAGAAATAATTTCCTAATACATGGCAATATACAGTCACCATGAACAGTAGTTACGGATCACCTTATCTTCCTTGAATTTGCCTAATCCCCTTTTAAAGAACCGAGGTTGGCAGTGGCCATATATCCTGCTCTAGCAAATTTCTAGGTTCATTACATACAGAATGTGAAGAAATACTCCTTTTCATGTGTCTCCATTTTCCTACTGTTCAATTTTACTAGACAATGACAGGTTTAGTATTATGAGAGATGTGTCTTTCTATCCATATTCTTTAGACCAAGCACAACTTGTTTCTCACTCTTAAGATAAACAAGTAGCAATAGATATGGTGGACTCAATTTAATCTTACCTGCAATATTGCTGTCTCAAAATTTCATCTCCATAGAATAAACAAATTGTAGACAACATCAACGATCTATTTTGTTCTTCCGTGAAATTGCATGTTACTGTAACTTTCTGGGATGAAAAGAAATTTTATGTAAAATTGAGTATATTCTCTAGTTCCTGCCACTAATTGTAAATTGTACATCAAATATACAAATACAAAGTTAAACTGTATATAACGTTTTGAAAAAAATTATGTTTGTAGCATATACATTTTACTAGCAATGCCAGAATCCAAATCGTTATATATAGCAGCATAAATTTCAGTGTCAAGTTGTCACTAATTGACAAGTCATTGGTTGTATTTCCTGTTATACACTAACTTGACTCAGAATGCAAGGAGAAATAAAAATGCCAACTTGTAAATTAGAGATAATTTGCTGCTGAAATTTACACCACTGTAACTGTTCAAGAGGATTCTGGCTCATATATTTCATGATAATATCAGGGCAGGCATACAACTAGCTTTTGTAATTACCTGCTGTGAACCTTCCTTAAGGACAAACTTTTCTGGAAAAATTCTCATCACATTTGGATCCATAATGATTCTTTCAGAAAAGTTCTTGAAGCAAAGTGCTTTCACATAAGCAGCCCGGCAGCCTGTATTGCGTACAGTGAAAGAAGCCTGACATCTTTTATCAGATGATTGTTCGTATAGTCCTAGTATATATCTGTTACCATGCTTCTTAACATCTTCTACTCTCACATTGCTTTTTCCTCCATATCCATACAAAGGTATCTGAAAGAAAAACACATATAATCACAGGAATTGATGAAAGAAACTTGATTCTAGTTTTCTATTCCCAAAAAGAGTATTCAGGATAAACAACTACTCTAAATACAGTTTTTCCCAAATAACTTCACTAACGCCCAGCCATTCTCATTTATTTTAAATTGGTAGGTCTCCTTTGAAGGTAGAACTTAGTTTTAAGTATTAAAGACATAAACAACGTATGACCAGAATATCTCAAAGGTTTTTTCTATATGAGCTTATCTGTTTCTGAAATCAGGAGCATTTTCCAGGACAATCTTAAGTGCTTGTGCTGACCTATATAAACCTATACAACTTAATTCCAAGATCTATGAAGGATAACTTCGCCCCATCTGAGCCTTCCCAAGTGTTATCATCTTTGGGAAAAGACTTTTCTCTCAGTCCCCCACCCCATAGATGCTGCTGCTGGACCTTTTTGAGTCCTGCTCCTAGGCAGTAGAATTTCTTTCCATAGGAGGCCAGATTGGCTTTCTTTGCTGTTCGTCCAGAGACTATTCTCTTCAGGAATGCTTTTAGTAAGTCACTGGCTGCCAAAGAAAGGTTTTTTGAATTGGGGATGTTATACTATAGTTCTAAAAATGTTTATTTTCAAATTGTTTTAAACTGTTTTATATTCAATAGTTTTAACATGCAATGTTTAATAATACACAATCTGTTTAATTTTGCAAATACAGTAATTTATTGTATTTTTTATTGCCAAATCATTTATCTTTAAAATATTTTATATACTATATTAGATTCCTCCACTAGGTGAAAATGAAGTGAATGAACAAATACTGGTACCTCTAAGGAAAAATCATGTTTTATTAGGACATTTACATCCCAATCTTCTTGAGAGGCTTATTATCACAACATACAATAAGAATGATTTTGTCTGGCTGTGAAATTCTTGTAATTTGAAATTGTAAGTCATGCAGCAATGGCAGGGACTGCAGCTTTATTACAACCAGTTCTCATCTCCTCACCCCATATTAAGCAGCATAAAGAAAACAAGGGAGCAGTTTAGTATTACTGAAGTATATATATTGCAGCTGATCACTTTCACAAAGTATTCAGACCAGCAACACTAGCCAGATAAGGCTGCCATTTGAAATCCAAGAGATAATTCAAACTTTAAAAAGCCCCCAAAAGAGAGTAAAATACAGTGGTGCCTCGAATAGTGAGCGCTTCAAATAGCAAAGAAATCAAATAGTGACTAGTTTTTCGGGGCATTTTTTCGCTTCTATTAGCGATGGTCCCTATGGGCGATTTTCGAGTAGTGATGGTTGGGACCAACGGCTCCCCGCTTTCGGTGGAGGAGGAAAAAAATAAAGGGAGGAGGAGCCTGTGCGCCTTGTCTCTCCAGGTGAAATTGTAGCTGCCGCGGCTTTTCTGCCTCTGGAAGGCAGGTGGCGGCTCTTGGCGCGGAAAAGGACCCGCCAAAGCGGGACAGCGCGCTTTCCGCGGCTGCCCTGCCTCCTCGACCGGGCCGAGAGAAGGGAGACCCAGCGGTGGCCGGTCTCGTGCGGACCTCGGGGATTTCAGCCGGGAGCACCTGGCCCGGCGCTGCTCCGCCTCCACGATGTTTGCAGCCAGGGGCGGCAGCGGGGCGGGGCCTCCCAAGGCGCTGCCTTCCTCAGGACCCAAGTCTCTGTGGGACATGCCACACCCGCTGGCTGCCTCCAGCAGCTGACGCCCAGCCCGGACTTCCAGCTGCCTCACAGCATCGCCGACGTGGTGAGGGCAGTGGGGGGGGGCTCTCTCCCTTGAGGGCCTGTCGAGGGGCGCGCGGGGTGGCGGCGGCAGCAACGGGAGGAGCCTTGTTTTTGTGGCGAAGGGCAGGCAGGCAGGCAGGCGCTGAAGGTACTATGTTCTGAGGATTTTTTTTCCTCTGGTGAGGAACTGCGGGGATGGTTTTTCCGCTTGCAGCCGTGCCTGGTCATGTGAGTGCAGAGGGGCTGCAACACGGAGGGGCCCGGTGGGGTCAGGGAGCAAGAAGAAGAATCCTTTCAATAGGCAGAACTGGGCAATTGAGGAACCGCATTTTTATTAGCGAGGTTTCCTATGGAGATTTTCGATTAGCGACAGCAATTTGTTCCCATTGGAACAGATTAGGCAGTTTCCAATGCATTTCAATGGGAAACAACGTTTTGAATAGCGATGAAATCCAATAGCGATGTTTTTTGTGGAACGCATTAACATCGCTAATCGAGGCACCACTGAGTTATAAAGTTTCCCTGTGGAGATGCTGAGACACTCAAAGACAGATTGTTGACATTTTAAGATGCTTGATGTCAAAGATATCCACATAAGGTTGCAGTGTCCATGTCTCATTTTTTTTATGTGGCTCAAGTTTATAAAGTGTGAATGTGTTTCAAAATATCACAAGATACACACAATAAAAAGGAGTAACTGAGCACATTTATGTTGGTGATATATGTATGTATGAGTTATATTGCTTAACATTCACAGTGAATTGGTAGTAATGAGGCAATGATGACATTATTAGGTGTGTACCTCCTTAATAACTGGATGTATACCTGCTAACAGAACAAGTACCTTGTTAGTTAGCAGCAATTCACCATGTTACGTAATTTACTTTACAAATGTGTAAATAACCAACACAATTCTAACGGTGAACTCCAGAGTTTTTCCTACAGAGTTACATCTATTATCAGTCAAAAAGGTTAACTTACAGTGAACTTGATTCCTAGTTGAGATAGAAGACCAAGCTGTTTCATTTCAAGCTTTGCAAACATACAAGCAAAACGAGTTGGTGTAAATGTAAGGAAGACATTATAATCATGTTTTGGTCTGATCTTGATTTCACAGTTATTGTATGCTTGTTTTCCAAGTTTCAACTACAAATAAACAGGGAGAGAAAAACAGTAAGTTCGACCACTGACAACATATTCAGAACAGTTTTCAGTGACTTCTTCAAGTTTTATTATTTGTTTCCAGAAGTCTATGAATTAAGAGATTCATAATATAATGGAAATGCTGTCATGACAAGGTGTATCAGAGAAAATAAATCTATTTAGTCTTGATGTGGTGAAACGTTGAAAGCTCAAATAGAGATTTGATTCATTTGTAATTCCCAACATTTTCTGCATGCAAAGACATAGGAGGAACCATTTATAATAGGGAGACACGAAAATCTATTTCACAGTTATGCATTACATATCCAATACAGGTATTTCCTTTGCAAAACCATTGAATATTTTCCCCAAACCGCTGATTTTGAAATGCAGAATCTGAAATATTCAGGACTCTCAGTTTAGCATAAAAAAGTAACATTAAGTAGCATTTTAATTCGAACTTGAGCCAGAGGCTAAATCTAAATTTCTGAAGCAAAAATTTAAAATTTGAATTTGCACATACTGAAGTCAGACTTAAAAGGACAACCCTATGTTTACTCAGAAATCCCACTGAATTCAATGAGATATCCCCCAGCTTCATTTGTATAACACCCCAGGCATCAAAAGCACTATAGCTGTTATAATAGAAGTTTTAAATAAAAAGCACCTTCAAACCCAAATGCTGGCCATATTTGACTATAAAAACCAGTTTCGAGTATCAGTTTGCTTGACTCACCTGAAAACAGTCCTGATCTTGACCCCTTATCAGCAATCGTAATTGCTGAGTAGTAGACGCAGAGCCATTTCTCAGAATTAGTTTCTGTTGACTGAATATTACAAAAATGTTTAACATCTTATAGTGATTTGCTTATATACATGATGTGGAAAAGACAGCTGTATGTTTTCTATGAGCATGTGTATACTAGAACTATTAACGACAAACTGTAGTAACATTAACATTAACATTGGGACACAATCACAAAGTAATGTACCTCCTCATATGCTATTTAACACCAGAGTTCTAATTTAGTGCACTTTCAGTAGCAAAATCTGTTCAAGATTCTTAGGTTTAATGTTTTAGCAATTTATCCACAACACATCCTTTGAGGCATATATTGGTCCTAATGCAAATTTGAGCAAGGCAGATACAGCATTTATCATATTTATAATGCATGTAACTGAGGAGGAAGATAACATTTTTTAGTCTCGGATGACATTTTTTGATGCAATCAAGCCTGAATATAATCCCTCATTACTCGTTTAGTATTTTCAGTTTGTCCAGCAATAGAAATGTTGATGGATTCTACACAGAGCAACATATGTTTGTTGAAATAAATTATATTTCATTATAAAAGTCAAATGCACACATACCGTTAGTTTGTTGCTCTTAAATGCACACATAATTGATTTCAGATAATACTCACTTTGCTGTCTCTCTTTAGGGTTCCCTTCCCACTTGAAATGAGAAGCCCTTAGAAGGGGAACAAATTTCAGAGACAGACAGCTCTATCACAGAGACAATTATAGCAGAATGAAGAACTCAGTGATCAAGGTCTAGGCTCTTCCTGCACTCTGCTTTGGGCACCACTTGAACTATAGACATACTTAGTAAAAGTCTGAAGACATTTTATGCTTTCTTATAAAAACAATTTATTCAATACTTGTATAACTCATATCTTGCTTATGCTATTACTTACACTGTTCTTCCTAGCTGAACACCTCCCCATGACAGAAATTGCTTGTTCGCAAGAATGGGGGGATCTTCTGTATTGGAGCATTTTTGTACCAAAGGTTTGCTTTTTGCTACAGTCACTTCACCTTTCACAGTCACTTTATACTCTGGGCCGGATGGCAGTACTAATATTTTCACAACACTATGAAAACAAAACCTCAAGTTAAATATTACATAGGAAGAATCTCTACTTGCTATCATTTTACCAATTAGATTATGTTACCTTTCTGCACCTCTACAGTCCTTTGGAGAAAACTCAACTGTCACTTCTTGTTCCTCCCCAGGTATAAGAACCAGATGCTCAGGCTTAACAGAAATGCAGCTGTCTGTCTCCAATATCTGGAAATGAAGACACTATCAAATGACAGCTGTTGTCACTATTAGTTTTCACAGTTGCTTCACAGGTTGCAGCATATCCTAATGAAACTGCACCTGATCTCCCACTTTAATGCCCTAGAGGTTGACCCAAATTAGACTCTGCTGGCCTACTCTACATAGGGCTACCTTTGAAGACAGTCTAGGAACTATGGAAGTGTCAAGTGGTGCAAAATATGATTGTCAGAATTTTAAACAGAACTCAGTTATACTGCTGAAATGACTAGTAGTTAAATTCTGACAAATCATACGTGTGACGAGGAGCAACAGTGCACAGGCGCATGTGGATCCAAGCTTCCAAAAGACTTCTTCACCTGATCAAGGAGAGGGTGCTGCCCAGGCTAGGAGAGAAAAGTGCTTTGAAAGCATGGCTTTCATCATGCTTTCAGAAAGCATTCATATGTGTCTGAAACAACTTAAGATCACCACCATGAATTTCTCTTTTAAGATAATCATCACACCGTACTGCTTTCCTGTTTCAAGAAGCTCCTGAGAGACAGTGATGATCTTAAGGGGATATAAGGGGATATACACAGAGACTTCTGGTCATTCCCTGTGCCATCAAATGGGAGCATAAAACAGCATACTCCCTCCTACAGAAAAGTAAAATGCTAAAACAGAAGATGAGCAGTGACTCCCTCCAGAATCATTTGTATGATTTCTGTATCAATGTGCACTCTGAGCTTTTTGCTTGGAAAAAAAGCAAAAAAGAATAGAATCTCTTGCCATTCAGATAACCACTGTGTAGTCAGGATGCTAGACTGGTCTGATTATGGATGACAGTAATTTTAGAACTATTCTTTAGAAAAGAGATAAATTAACTTACCATGATCTTCAAATTAACTGTAATATTCCCAGCATTCTTTAATGGCAATTGTTGCTTTGTTGATGAACCCATATTTGCAGACATATAGAGTGTCTGGAATAAATAGAGTACATGTAATGGAATTCTAGTAGAGAAAGAAATGAGCTATATCTCAGCAAAAGGTTTTGTAAAACATACTTGCAGGCTCTTTGGTGCGTATATTCTAGGTGTTCCAGATCTTGCACTCAGAGGAATACTTCTTAAAACATTAGCAGGCTCTGGGCAATCTACCTCCACATCAATTCTCGCGAAGTATTCATCAGCTGAGCCCAAACAATCTGAAAAATTTGTGTTTAATAAACAAGAACAGAAGAAGAACCACCATAAAGATTCCTTCTGTCTGGTGTAAAGAATGGTATCCATTAATGGCTTAAGTCTCCAACCACCCAGGAAGGCAGGGATCATATAGTCATGTTTTCACTTGGCAGCAGTAATGCTTAACTCTGTCTCCAGTTTTCCCCAGAAGAGCCCAGAGAGTAGTTTATGGTAGGATTGAAAAAAAAGAAAAGAAACAAAGCAGCCTTTGGTTGGAAGGTGGCAATGTTGGACATGATGAAGGGAAAACAGACAATGTACTCTTGTGCCTCCCATATGTCTTCTATCTACGAGGGCTGGAGTGGGAAAAATGTGTTGGAGTACAACATATGGTTTCCCAAAGTTGTTCTGGGGCCACAATCCCCTTGCAAAAAAAATAAAATAAAAAATTAAAGAGACATTTTCTGCTCTTGAAAGCAGAATTGGTGGTTTTCCAAAAAAATGGGGTTTCCAGCCCCTCCAAATGTTCCCCTATCTCAAAACCCAAAATGGCAGTAGGTTTTGATCAACATTTAGTTTTGATATTCATAATTTGTGCTCCTTTCAGGAGCTGACATGGCCCCTGATGGGTCTTGAGGAAATCAGCCCTCAGGAGAAAAAGTATCACTACCAATTTTAAAGGGACGTGGTGGCGCTGTGGGCTAAACCGCAGAAGCCTGTGTTGCAGGGTCAGAAGACCAGCAGTCGTAAGATCGAATCCACACGATGGAGTGAGCTCCCGTCGCTTGTCCCAGCTCCCGCCAACCTAGCGGGTCGAAAGCATGCAAATGCAAGTAGATCAATAGGGACCACCTCGGTGGGAAGGTAACAGCGTTCCATGTCTAAGTCACACTGGCCATGTGACCATGGAAGATTGTCCTCGGACAAAACGCTGGCTCTATGGCTTGGAAATGGGGATGAGCACCGCCCCCTAGAGTCGAACACGACTGGACAAAAATTGTCAAGGGGAACCTTTACCTTTACCTTTACCAATTTTAAGGCAAGATGCAAAATAATCTTTGTAACAGATAACTCATCTTCAGTTTCTCCCTGGTGTGAATTCTCAGAGACAAAAAATGCGTGCACTAGCTAGGATGTGGAAGTTGCTCAGGATGAGTATGGCGTAAGTCTATCTGCAATGATCTACTTGCTACAGCAATTTCCTGCCAAAGATTATCTTTGTAAACATGCAGTTCTCTATCCATACTGTTTATCTAATAAAAGCAGGACTGCAGATGTTAGCTAGTGGAGTTTTGGTATCAAACAACTTCAAGCCACATAACAGTTTTAGAATTCTGCCTGGATCAAACATTATTTTGTTTTGTTGAACTAATATAGCCATCTGATGTTTATCTACATTAATTTCAGAAGATAATAAATCTATACCTGAAGTGATGTATTTGCTTGGTGCATGGAACTGGACCCAGACCATTAAAACTTCAGGATCCTAAAAAGAAAAATACTCACAGAATGAAGTATTTTGTAGAAATGTAAGAACTCTAAAAAAAATACAATTACTTATGTATTGTGTTTATTACATGTAACACAATCTTACACAGAAACACAGGCAACAAATAAAATGGCTCTACCATCCTAGCTACAATAAAGAAAAGAGAACTGAGTTTCATAGTGTGTAGGTTTCAGATTTTCTTCATTCTCTCAAGCGTGCAAAAGAGGAATTCACGATATCCACCCAGACCAGGAGGCTGGAAACATGAGAGAATTGGTTAATTTGTGTTATACCAGTGCCCATGTCACTCCTCTCTATCATAGCTGAAGCTCAAGAGCAGGAGCCTATGAGAAGACAGGAGGGGCGGAATCAAGGAGACAGACAAAGGAAGGTAGTTAGAGAGGAGAATCAGAGTTAGAGAGAGAGAATTGGAAAGTTGGAGAGTTACAGAGAATGAGAAGGAGTTAAATGAAATAGTAAAGCTAAATAGAGAATATTAATGAGTTGGCTAATGTGAATAAGTATATACAATACCAGAATAAGCAAACATGTAATCAAATATAAGAAGTTTAAGGAGTGATCCTGAACAATAATAAAAGAACATCTGTGATTTAAAAACCAAAAGATAAATAAACAAGTTATATTGGCAGCATGTGTCTGATGCATATATGGGGCAGTGTGGATGAAAGATCCACTGGTGGTAGCGGAAGAAAGAGTAAATGTATCCAGAGGGTGAACCTGTGTTTGGGGGAAACAAACAGGGAACACTGGGTGGAACATCACAGTCTCCTCTCCTACAAAGTGGCATTTCTTGTAGAAATCATCTTAGCAAGATGAGTCATGAAGTTGTCAGCCCTAGTGGTCTGGAAACACTTTATCTTCCACATGTTACTCTCTGGCTGGATCCTTCCTTCAGTCTGAAAATCTCACATTATTTACATGTTTTTCAAGATGTGGTCTTACATTCCTTTTGTTCTAATCCTACTTACCTGCTAGGAATGTTCTGGTACAAGGCTCTAAAAGTCTACATTTGCTGTATTAGAGCAAATGGCCACTAAGAAGACCTTTCTGTTTAATTCCATGCCGTTTCATTGGGAAAGAAAGTTTACAGGCTAACATTAGCCTGGTGGATTTGAGGTTGTATAGTCATGATAGATGACACTGTGAAATTTCCAAGGCCCCCGCAGCTTGCTCTATTTGACCAGAGCAATGGCCACATCCATGTCATTTTCAGCCAGTAGCCCCTTAGCAGTAATCTGCAGGGCAGCCACATTTGAGGTTTATCAGTCATTACAAAATAAGTAAGAACCAGGCCACTGAGACAGCATTTTGAAGGAAAATATTCAAGTAATTTTCACTGGGTCTCTATCATTCCATTTCCCTCCTCCCAATTTAATTTGCCATGGGCATGCTGCACTCCAGTGGATTCCATTTCTGCAACACACAGAGAATAGTACCTTGGGTACTCATTGTAAGAGTACATTCCAGTAGATGCAGAAGAGGAATCCAGGCACACTCAACACTCATAGTTGTGGTCCTCTTCCACTACCAAAGCCTCTAAACTCCTCTAGCAGGTAAGTACGTATCTACCGATTTCCATATCTCCTTGAACTTTTCTGTCCTGTATTACAACAACAGAAAAACTTCTGGAAGAGGGTTCCAAATCCAATGAAGACTCTGCATCATATGTGTCCTGCCTCCTGATCTGGAAAGTGATAGAATTAACACATTCCAGCTGATTCTTTGTTTGCACCTACTAGAATAGACTCTTGCACTGAGTACTCAATGCACCATTCTACAACCAGATTATGAATGACAAAGAAAAGCATATTACAAACTAAAGTGAAAGGTTCATATGTTCAGTACAAAGATTTCTTGCATGTGGCTTGTAACTTGGCACATGCTGCAGCTGAAATTTACTGAAAGTAACATACTTTCTCACATAATCCCAACACTAGCAATGAACATTTAACAATATGCTGTGTTACAATTAATTCAACATTATATATCTAATAAATGATTACTTACTTGGCCATCACAGCTTGCATTCATTACATGGGATATCACTGAAGGAGCTGCTAACTGGGAGATGCTGTGAGTAGGTGCTGCACTTTTAACAGAAGGGTCAACTGGTTCCTTGCAAAATGTAAAGCAGCGCCATGCTACAGCATTCTGTAAAACAGATGATTTTACACTTGGAAACGAAAGGCATTACTGAAATTCTCAACACATTATGTTATTTACCATTGTCAGAATAAGTTAATCATCTTTAAGGTAAGGGTTCCCCTTGATATTTAGTTCAGTCTTGTCCAACTCTAGGGGGCGGGGCTCATCCCCGTTTCCAAGCCATAGAGCCAGTGTTTGTCTATAGACAGTTTCCGTGGTCACATGGCCAGCGTGACTAGACATGGAAAGCTGTTACCTTCCCACCATGGTGGTACCTATTTATCTACTCGCATTTACATGCTTTCGAACTGCTAGGTTGGCAGCATCTTTAGTGATACGCTATTCTATCAACTGATACATTTTGATCTTTATTTAATTTTAAAAATCCTCAAAACTGTCTTATTTTTCAACAAGAACCAGTATCAGTATTACCACTAAGCTTAGAGAAAGAATTTAGGCTATGTACATAACAGATGTGGTACTGGTTAGAATAAGGGAGGGCTAATATTTAAGACTGTGGACTACAACTTCCTGTGCTTCTCCAAAATAGGTATTGTGTTAAGGATACAGATATTTTTGATCCAACAACGTCTGAGTGGTACGCTTATCTTGTATTTGAGAAAGAATTATGCAACATTTGTTACCAGCGAGTGAAGGATTTATGAAACAGCACACCAGCTGGCTAGCTAAAGTAACAATTTATTACAGAGTCAAAGGAATTTCTTCTCTGAGTTCTGAATTCCCACATATCACTAAACAGCATCCAAGACAGGCTGGTATCTTTTATGAAGTATTATGAATGTGTATTATTTTTAACAGATCCCTACTGTAAAAAGCTTATAAATCTGAAATATGATACAGGGGAGCAAAAAAGAGAAGAGATGGTAGAGGCAAGTCTGAATGGAAGAATAGGGATGCAGCCAATAAAGTAGTGACAATTAAGGGGCAGTATCAAAATCTTGACAAAAAGGAAACTGAAAAGATTTGAACATCTGGTACTAGGTATTTTCTGGTGGCATGTTCCAAGCTTAGCTTGGTTGTAGGAGAACCAGTTGTTATGCGGTAAGCATTCTAATTGGTTAAATTAACGTTTTACTGAAGGATTTGCCATAGCTCACAGAAAATTCCATCCTTATGGAGAAGTAGTGATATCTAAAATCATGGTAATTATACTTTGGGCTTTTTCCCTTGGAATGATCACCAAAACCCAGCTCAAGACCAACATGGCTCTTACACCCGAACAGGAGTGAGGTGGAACTTGTTCATGCAAAACTGATGCAGCAAAACTATGAACAAGAAGGATCTTGGAATTGTCCGTGCACTTATGCGTCGATTTCAAAATTTGAATGATGACATACAAAGCCCTAAACGGTTTAGGACCTCGCTATCTGACGGAACACCTCCTCCCACCAACATCTACCCGTATCACTCGATCTAGTCAGGAGGTGCGACTGAGGAGCCTAACACCGAGAGAGGCCTGGAAGGAAAAAAACAAGAAACCAGGCCTTCTTGGCAGTGGCTCCTCGGTTATGGAATAATCTACCTTCAGAGATCCATATGGCCCCTCCGCTAGGTATTTTTAAAAGCCAATTCAGCCAGGCCTTCCCTCCACGCACTATTTGATCTACTTTGTTTTTTCCAGCTTGAATGATTAATTATTGTTGGATATTGATGTTATTTTAATCTGTTTATTTTGTTTGATGTATGCCGCTGTGAGGCCCCCAAAATGGAGGCCTTAGTGGGAGTTCCGTCGCTCTCGAAGAGAACCCTTCACACTCAAACATCCCCACCTCTGTCCCCAACGCGTCGGGAAGAGAAAGGCGTGGAGACCCCAGATTGGGAACAAGAGGTCGCCGAACCCCTTACCTTAAATAAGGGGGTAGATACGGGAGATTTGGAGG